CTCAGCTGCTGCTCTCGCCTCTCCTCCTCCTGGCGCCTCAGCTGCTGCTCGCGCCTCTCCTGCTCCAAGCGCGTCTCCTGTTCGCGCCTCTCCTCGCGGCGTCTCAGCTGCTGCTCGCGCCTTTCCTCCTGCTCCAAGAGCGCCTCCTGTTCGCGCCTCGCCTCCTGCTCGCGACTCTTCTGTTCCCAGCGCGGCTCCTCCTCGCGCCTCTGCTGCTGCCGGCGCCTCTCTTCCAGCTCCTGGCGCTCCTCTTGCTCGCGCCTCACCTCCTGCTCCAAGCGCCTCACATCCTGCTCGCGCCTCTGCTCCCTCTCCAAGCGTGGCTCCTCCTGTGCGCGCCCCTGCCTCCGCAGCTGCTGCTCTTCCTCCAGGCCCCCTCGCTGCTCTTCCTGGCGTTCTCTTTGCCACTGCGATCCCTCTTCGCCGCGTTCGCCCCGAAGCTCCTGCCGCTCGCGCCTCAGCGTCCGCTCTTCCTCCTGGCGCTCGCGCTGCTGCCTCTGCACCTGCTGCTCAAGCCTTCGCTCTGGGTCGCGAAACTCGGGCACCGATCCCTTGCGCCTCTGTAGCTGCTCTTCCTCCTCTAGGCGCTCCTCGCGTTCTCGCCTTTGCCAACGCTGCTTCTCCTCCCGGCGCTGCCCGTCGACGCGCTCACGTCTCTCCTGCTGCTGCTTCTGCTCCTCTTCCTCGGCGAGCTCCCTTTCGCGTTCCTGCCTCCTCTGCCTGCGTTCTTCTTCCAGTTGTCTGTCCTGGGCCTCAAACCTCCTTTGGTCGTCTTGTCTGCGATCTTGTAACGGATCCCCCTTTCTCTCACTCTTGGTTCCCCTCTCACCGAGCCCGGAGGCCTGACTGAGAGCATAATAACAAGCTTGAGCCACTTTGAAAATGAACAGGAGGAATTCATTGAAATCGACGAGTCGGTTACAGTCGCGATCCAGAAGTTCCAGGATCAGATCTACTGTCTCGGGGTCATGTGGTTTCTGAAAAAAGGGAGAAAACAAAAATTTTACAATGCACTACTTACAGGTAGCAAGCTGTGTATAGTTATGGTATGTTAACATTAAAGCTATTAAGAGCATTTAGAAAACGCCCAGCATATAGTCTTGTCTCCGTGTAAAATGTGAACCCTCATTTTAAAGCATTTTTGGTAAATCTTGAATCTTCTAACTTAAGGCTAATCACAAGTTCTCTGAAGCTGGCTGATTAAGAATTAACATCCTCAGGAGAGAAAATGTAATGGAAGTCTATGAAGATCTACAGTAGTCATATTTGTTTGAAGTAGCTGGTATCCCTGAGTTGATTTTTATTCTGTGTTTGAAACATTTATGAAAACACCATGTTAGTAAAGAAGAGGCTGATTTTAATTAGTGAAAGTTGGAAATTTACTTCCCTTCCAAATCTAATTTGGTTGGACATCTTTGGTGATAACTTATCACTCACATTGACTTTGCCATCAAGTACACAAAATACCTGCCAACAATTTCTTTAATACTCAGACTACAGTGCCAAGCAAGTACCTTCAGACTCAGAAATGAATGGGGGATGTGCTATAAAACTGTCATGTGTAAAATAAATATAAAGTCACCATTCCTTGCTTTGGTCTCTTCTAAGACATTTCATAACCTTAAATCAACAGAGATTTCTTTGTCTTGTTATTTCTTACCCGAAGGACGTCTCCAAATTCCATTTCAAGAAGGTTCTTCAAGTCTTTCTTGCTTAGTGCTGCCCCATCACAATCATGGGAGGCATATTTATTGTAAGTTTCAGTGATATCAAGGATGCTTCTCAGAAGTGGAGACATTGTTTTTTCTTCCTTCAAGTTCAAGTAAACCTTGAACAATAAAATAAACAGTAAAATAGCATCAAGAATCAAAGCTCTGTTTCTGATCTTGGGGAGCTTCATTCCCTCTGTTTCAGATAGACCTTTAAATAATTTGACTTTACAACAGTTATCACTTTCAACCTGGGCTTTCAAAGCATTTTATCTTTGAACATTTTACTCAGAAAGAGGAAGAGAAATCCTGAGAAATTTCAAGCCAGGAATCATCTTCAGACCATCCTGTAGTCTTTTGATCGTCCACCTAATCTGGAACATCCATCTCCTTTCTTTATCTCTCTTCTAGTTCCCCAGAATACTTCAGACCAGATAAAGAAGACAGGAGTGTAGAAATTTAAATTTGACGTGTTGCTACTCATAAGCATCTTCCTCTAAAGTTGAACGAGGAGGAGAGGTAAAAGCCACAAGATGAAGGAAGATTTGAGAAAATCTTAAACTGGATAGAAGTACGTACACTCAATTGTAGCAGCAATACTTCAGGTAGTAACTAGCAAATGAAAATTGAATGTGGATTATCTCCGACAGTATAGTCCATAAGAGATCTAAGAATTCACAAGTCATCAGTTGAGATTAAACATTACTTCTTCCTAGTCAAAGATGGCATTGTAATTAATTAAATATACCAATGCAGAAAACCAAGAATACATGTTACCTGCCTCAACTCAAATATCTTACAGATATTCAATTATTGAAAGCACTGAGAGATACTTTCTGGCTAACTACAGAGTCAATGGGTCAAATTTAACAGGAAAACTTTGAATAGTATTGGTCTTATGGTTAGCTTTTGTTAAACCCAAATAAATCTTTTGCATCTTGCATTATTAAAAAACAGGACTTAGCCAAAAGCAGATGTGTATTACACATGAAAACTTCACAGACTAGGTGTGTAGAGTGATTTATCAAGCTGTCTTTTTTACTTCTCAATTCTAATACTTCAGATGCCATAACATTATGATAATAACCATATGTGTAGAAGAACAAATAAAAAGAGAGTAGTTCAGACTTTTGAGATAGCACTTTTAAGCAAAATGAATCCCATCAAAATCATACATGATTATCCTCTAATGCCTTCCTGACATGAAAGCAAACTTATAGAATTCAGAGCCTTTGGGTGAAGAGACAGTTTCCATTCAAGCGATGGTTTCAACCATGAAAAGATGGCACAGAGTTAGGGGGAAATAGGTATCCCTGTAAGACACTGATGCCTTCTGGCACATACTCTGCCCCCCCCCACTCCCCACAAAATCTACAGCAGCTGGACAATGAAGAATTGTACAGAAGAACAAGATGATCCCACTGAATGGGGCTTACCCACTTCACCAGAGGAAGAAGTCAAGTGCTCGCTGACACCGCTGGCAAGTGTGCTGGACAACTGGGAGCTGGTCCTTTTATAGGGGATTTAATTGTGCCCTGGAGAACAACTTGGGGAGGAGACACCCACTCTGTAGGATGGCCTGATTCATTCCTAACCAAGCCCAGCTCCACCTCTGTCTCCACAAATGGCTTGTTTATCTCACTATTTGCTCACGTAGCTATTTGGCACGAGGTTCATAGACCTTACCTCCTGACGGTAGGGTCCTGGCCCTAACGTGATAGTAGAATATTTTACAAGATTTTTCTATTCTTAATTGTTAAATTGATAAGGTATTTAGAGTTTTAATTAATTTTGACTTGATTATAAAGTAGTAACTCCTAAATCATTTACTTTATAAAAGATATAAATTTTAGATTGGGTTAAACAGAAAGTTTGTCATAAACTGAGGTAAACCGATTAATTTCTACCTGGTCTATGATAATCTGTAGGGAGCTGCTTGTATCCCTGTCTGAAACAATTCTAGGACGTGAGAGGGAATAAGGAATCAGTTCTAGTTTTTTTTTGTCTAAAAATGCAGGTGGGAAAAGTGGCATTTGTATTCTTGGGTTTTATGTATGGCCCAAGGTTTTCCTTCAGATTGTCTCATTAGTAAACAATTTTGAGGGTACTTTAGAGCTATGTTGTCTTTAAATTGTGCATAAGAAAACTTGAAATCTGTGAAATTTCATTCCGAAGGACATTAAATCTAAAGAAAGGTGCTCATTTCTTTTCTCATTAGCATATTGAAGCCCCTGGAGAAAAAAAGAGTTGGTGTAATGCATTATTGTAGATATAATCATCCTGCTTAGCTCAAGCTCCTAATGATTACAACACCTAAACACTTGACTCTGCTTCTCCTGGAAGCACATTAAGGTAATCGGCCATTCTGGCCCATTATTTCTGTGAGGGCTTTCTCAACCCTGTCAATTGTTTGTGAATTTCAGTACTGTTTTACTGTAAGGAACTGGATTTTATCCCTGGTTGTCAGTGACTCCCACCCTTACACTTTAGGGTATATGAAACTTCGGTTCACAATAGATTTATGAAGACTATTAAATGATTCACTGGTTTTTGACATTTGTTGTTTTCTGAATTTTGAGGCTACTTTCTAGGTAGCCTTTGATGGAAAGTGAAAAATGGATTTCAAATCTAGATGGCTCCTTCTTTATGTGTGGATTGATCCAGATGATAGTGGAGATGATTGTGTGGGTTCTATTTGCTCCCTTACTTGCTGCCATTCCAGACATGGGGTAAAGAGGGAAGTGGAATTCACAGGCGATGGGGAGACAGTTTTAAGCTTGGCTCACTTTTGCCTCTTTAAGGATGCCTGAAGATTGCGGATCTAGGGGTTTTCCTAGAACCATCACTCTTTCTTGGGGTATTAGCAGACTTGATGTAGCAGTTCCTTAATAATGAGTAACATTTCTCTTTATTCTATTCTATTTTGTACAGCTTTCTTGATCTTGGAATTCTAGTGTAGGACCACAGATCATCACAGAACTTTCTCAGATGGCACTAGTCTTTTTTATGGGTATCTTTAAGGAATTCTCTGGACAAGCCCCCTTCTGAATGGCCTTGAGAAAATGCCTGAAATTGAATATATAATAACGGAAAAGACTTTTCCACTCTGAATGCAGTGAGATCTTAAAAGCAGTGATGTCTGTCTTACCCACTCTTATGTAAAATCAGTGCAACACAAGGATATGTATTTAAAAACCTACAGGAACTAAGCAAAGTAGCCTCTCTTCTGTGCTGTTTGAGCCATCATCAGCAAGACTGTAAACAGAGTCAATGCTAAATTTAAAAATCAAGCTTGATATTCTCCTAATGAAATGATCCTCATTGCTATATAATATTCCTTTACTTTACAATGTCATCATTTAAAAATATTATCGTGAAAGGACCTCCTGACAGTTTCAAAGAAATTTTTTTTTATTTCAAAACATTGGCAAATGCCAGGGGACCTAGAAGGGAACATAGAAAAGCACCAAATTCTAACACATTAGTCCAGTCTATTTTTGTAAACAAACAAACAAACAAACAAACAAACAAACAAAAAACCCCAAAACCAACTGTGAATCCTTGAAATGTGGCAGCGTCTACACATTATGGTTCATCCAAAAAGAATGGTGTTTTTATAATCTGAAGATGTCCATATATTTTATAGACAAAAAGCCTCATTATATCATTTTATAAGACAGGAGACTGAGGCACTGAGAGGTCAGACAACATTACTGACTGGCCTAGGAGTGACCCAATCTCCTGCTCCAAGCAGTAAGAAAGTCCTTCTTGATCAAGAGCTAATGCCGTGGGTTGAGAGCTCAGCTATAGTATTATGCTGTTACTTGGTTTTGAGATTTGGGTTCTTCATCACAGAAGAACTGAAGAGAGAAAATAAAACCTGTATCACTCACTCCTAAGCTTTAATATTACATCAATTATGAAACCTTATAGGTGTTGAAATGAGCAGGGGGAGCCATGCTGGATTAGTAGCGAGTTAAGGAAATAATCTCTCTTCCTGGTCTTTATCTCATTCAAAAGCACATTTTCCATTTCCTTCATCAGAACCCCAGCCAAAAGAAAAAAAGACTTGAAATTGTGTGACATTCTTCCAGGGCCATACTCTTGCTCTGGAAAACAATCCTGTGAAAGTTTAGATAAAGAAGGTCCCAGTGTCATATTCTGCCTAGTGATCTTCTCCAGAACCTGTTATGAGCTATGATGCAGAAATTAGGAAAATGTGCAAGTGGAGTGATTTGAAATGGCTTAGACTCCTGAGTTCCTTAAGCAGTTCTAGCCAATGAAGACCCTTTCTTTAAATTTGTATGTTAAACCTTTCAAATTTTCTTCTCGTTTCTTCTTAATGACCCATCACTGACCTCCACCTACTCCAGTCAGAAACCTAATAGGTTTCTGCACAAATTCCACTCCCTCCCACAACCTTTCCTGGACTTCACACATAATGATTTTCCAGTTTTTAGTAACATTCTCCACATAGTAAGGATCATACAACCCACCACCAGTGAATATGTCATTTCCATGTTCTTCTTGAATTTAATGGGTGTTTTGTCTTCTTGATTAGATTTTAAGTTCCTTGAAGGCAAAACAGTATCTTTTATTCACACTAGGTGTTTAGTAAAATCCTTGCTGATAGGATATAATTTTATTGCTGTGTGGCAGTTTAAATGGCCAACAGGTCAGAATGAGATGAGTTGCTTGATCTGGGAAGGGAGTTCTGTGGGTTTGGGTGATGACTTAGGGATGAGGGCACCCACCATAATGGGAGTCAGCCCTTCTGGGGCCTCTTTCTAGTTTCACCACTTACTGGACAGATGACAGGCAGTATTACTCCACTCCTGCTGCTTCCCCATGCCCATCACTTCACCCTTTTGTCAAGTGAGCAGCTATAAGATACGAATCCTTTCCGCAGAGGGGAGCTGTGATAATTACAGCTTGTAAAGCATTTTGTGATTCTTAGATATAAAAGGGCTAATTATTATGATCATTAATAATTCTTAATTTTTATCTTCTTTAAGGTAAATTATCCTTACTTTAATTACACCCCCACCCTGGTGGTAATTATACCTCGGAGAGTCAGCAGATGCTTTCA